CCCCCCCCCCCCCCCCCCCCCCCCCGTGTTTCCTGGGTTTACACAGGCTTTAGGCTATCTGTGTCCATGTGCAAGTAACCCTGGGCTGCAAAACTGTAGGGAGTTTCATCTGGATACTGCTTTTTTTTTTGTTTTTTATTCGTCATAAAAAATAGTTTGCATTTGTGAGATGCAAAATGAAGCAGGCAGATCCTTGCCTCTTACCTTAAGGTATTCACCAGTACAGTGCCCACTCCACAAATCCCGCAGAGAAATAGCAGAGCCTCAAGTGTGACAGAGGTAATTAAGGACTGGCGGTGGAGGCAGAAGACTAGTTAACTCACCTCAGACTTTTTTTTCCCTGCCTAAAATCACAGTGGGAAACTGGTCTGCATTTCCTCAGAGGAGGCTGTTAACCCAGTAAATGACAAAGCAGCTTTGTGAGAACAAAGGTGGATGGGTTTTCAGGCGGCTGAGTTTAGAAAGGGTTAATTTTTGTTGTTGTTGTTCAGGGGTCTCTGAGCCTCAAGCGTTTCTCTGAAGATTTGGGTGTAATCATATTATCTTTGTCACACACGCAGCCCTGTGCGTGGTCTGACAGCCTGTGACAGCTGCCGGGGATGAAGCTTAGTTTGCAAGCGCGACTCAGGGTACCTTGCAAAGAAGGGGGCTTCTGAGGAATTCAGGGTGCCATGCACTACCTGAACGGGTTAGCAGTGCCGATGTAGGACCATCTAGGTTAGACTTCCACAGGTACATGGTAACCGTGTGTACCGCTCAGGAGTCAAACTGTCAGGGCACACAGCAAGGCCCCGGCTCTTTGCCAGCAAGCAGGCTCCAGTGTTGACACACTCAGGCTGCCGTGTCTGCGTTTCTCTAGAGGCCCATGTCCCCTTTGCCAACATCTATCTCAAGTCACATTCCCTCGGAGTTCTCATTCCATACAGCTAATCCCCTAGAACGCAGGCCAGCGCATTAGCTTTCTGGGCCTCTTAAGGACCAAAAAGGAAAATGTTCCCCCATGGGTACATTGCAGACACTGAGGGTGGGAAACCCTGGAAGTGAAGTCATAGCTTTCAGCTCCCACCTGCGGCTGCATGTCACTGACAGGCTGCACAAGGCTAGGTCTTCAGTGTCACAGCCCATAAAGAAGAAAAAAAAAAAAAAAGAAAAGAGAAAGATAAACCCTGAGTCTGTGTGTACAGAGCTTGCTTTGGGCACCTATAAGTGGCTCGTCATTTGTCCACTAAAATGATTGCAGAATTTGTTTTTGGTTTGTAAAATCCAGCAATAATAAAAAAATCCTTTAAACAAGCAAATAAAAAAAAAACCTACGGAAAAGCTAGCACACTAAATATTTATTGTAATATTATACAGGAAATGTGCTGTTGATTAATATAGGGGCTGGTGAAAATCAAAGTGCACATGGCGCTTAGCCCCTCCCTCAAGTCCCTCCTCAAATTAGGGACTATGGGGCCTTCTAGGTGCCTGCATTTTTCTGTGCCTTTGCTTACATCTATAAACCCACTCCCGGAGTGGATGACTTCGTTCCTTTTGTACAGGGGCTATTTCAAAGCTAGTGTTTTTCCTTTTGCATTTTGTATCAGCTTGTTTCTCTTCCTTCCAGAATGTGCTTGGCAATAACAAAGATCCATAGCCTTCCTTCCGGTACCCAGCACCTCAGACTCCCGAACGGTGTGCACCCTGGAGTTGCTTTAACCGTCTCACTACCACTCTGAAATCTGGGGTCCTTTATCATGGCAGGTGTAAGTAATTTCTGAGCCCTCTGGATATGGGGAGTGAGCTCCCACGTATTTATGACGCTAATAGAAATGAATATACGAATGCATACATTAGCAGAATAAAAGGGGGATGCCTTGGACCAATGATAGGAAAGTGTCTATGAACAAAGCACCGTGATTAATCTGGTTCTTTGTAAAATGCAGAGGTTTCATTAAAAGACAATAGGTCTGGTGTTTCCCTCTTTTTAAGAGCTGTTTAATATTCCGGCGTATGTATGCAACGCCGTGGCTTAGACCGTGTTCTATTATTGAAAACCCCAGCTGGACTGTTCTTCTCCAGAGGATGTGCACAGACAGAAGTGTGGTCAAATCCCTATTCATCAGGGCAGGTCATGGGTTCCCGCTTGCTCATTATATTTCAAAACTAAAGCCATGAATACATAAGTAAAGGTGGTATCTCCACGGATCAGCGAGAAGGGCGTGCGTGCCACATACCCCCATTTAAATTAACGTGAGCCAGCTCAACTGATGGCCGATTAAAAAAAAAAGAAACCTAAGCTGTTTTCATTTCATGCCATTGCTGAGAGCACCGCAGAGAACATTCTGGTAGCTAAGCGTGTGAACACATCCCTGACTGTGTTTACCCCAACTCCTTGACGGGGTGTCGGGGGGTTGCTGAGTAAATGATTTGCACAGATTTGTGTTCACTGAGCCATCTTTCTCAAATACCATTTTCACCTTCTTACCATCTCTCCTTCCAATCCAGTCCTCTAGCTGACTTCCCACAGCTTCCAGAATGTCGTCCAAGGGGAAAGGGAAAGGAGAAAGGAAAAAGCCTGATACAGAATTCCTTTGAGCATCTGGCTCAACCTCATGCTCTTTCAGCCTATGGCCGTCCTAGCCACACTGTGCTTAGGGTGATGAATATCCTTGACATAACTCCCCCCACCCCCCAGTCCCCC